CACGCCTCGTAAGCTCGGCAACTTGTCTGTCCCTGGACAAGTACCTGCAGTGGACTGCATCAGCCTCATTCTTCCATTCTCCTCTCTGTACCCCTCAGGCGGCTTTACTCAGTATCAATGCTCAGGAAACATACTTCACTATGTTTAGTTCATTCTCTTCCTCCTTCCCATGAGTTGGAAGACCTGGCTTGTGATTCCCTTGTCCCACTGGGATATAACCCTGCGGTGAGTATGTCTATCTTACCTGCATTTGTGTCTCTACCCCTCAAAGGCAAATTCCATCCTTCTTATAGATCCTACTGCAGTGCCAGGACACAGAACACCCAAGCAAATAAGTGGATAAATTAAGCTTTCATATCAGTGCAAGCTCCTCTTTATGCGTCTTTCATAGTGTAGATTTCCAAAGAATGTTTGTCCACATAAATATCTGATCAGCCCTTCCTTCCAGAAAACCACCAGATTGAACACGGCAGTCCCGTGCTCAAAGCCACAGAGTCTTCACATGAAAATCTGGGACAAGAGATGAGCAAAGCCAGTTAGAGGCTCCTTGTCTGTGGGAGTGACAGTTTGTCCTTCCAAGTGCAAAGAAAAAGAAGTGATTTTGGGTCAAGGAATATCAGGCAATTAAACTCAGGAGGTCTTAGAAGTCAGCAGGGCCAAATTTCTAAGCAAAGTTGGAATACATTTAAAGAAGCAATGCTTAAAATCTCCAAAGATGAAAATAAATAGCTGAAGAATGATGTTTTGGAAACTTGGATTTAACTCAGCGAGTGACAGTTCAGCAAGATGAGCCGGGCAGGGAGACAAGGGGGTGAGCTCATCCTCTGGCCACCTACGGCACGACCCAGCCTGCTGCGGGCCAGAGAGGTGGAGGCTCCGATTGGCGTTTTAAAAGGTGGAGAGAAATGGATGTGATTCGGCTGACCCCAAGGTCCAGAGCAAAGACTTCCTTGGATAGCTAACGCGCCCTGTTCGGATAAGATGTGGTCTTGAGGTGGGGGTAGGGAGAGGCTAAAGAGGAAGGGTAGAAATGCAATTTGTAAAATCTTTGTATTGTGATAAAAATCCAATACAGTTTGGCTGAGTGAGGGCTTGAAATTTCATCAGTTCTGTGAACCATCCCCAGAGTAGAAGGAAAGGGGCTGGGTTTTATCATGTCAAAAAGTCAGCCAGGAAAAAAAAAAAAAAAAAAAACAGTCCTGCAGTCTGGGCACAGCCAAGCTGACATTTCAGCCCAGATGCATTCCTTTTAAGGGCCAGAATTTAAAGAATGTGCTTTTCAGCCTCTCCCACAAGCTCACACAGGCAAAGCGGAGGCAGAAGGAGCTGTGTGCGCAGCGAGATGGAGATGTGTTTTTCTCATTACTCTCAGACGCCGTCCAAAGCTGGCTCCCAGACTCCTCCTCCCTGGCACTTTTCCCAGACAGAGGGGCTTGGCTGCAGGGCTGCAGAGGGGAACGCTCTTCCGAAGGAGCATGAAAAGCTCAGTTTGGGGATCTACCTACCCCAAGGACTGGCTGACTACCCCCTGGTGAGGTTTTGTGTAGAAGTCAAAGGGGCAGGGGTGTCCTGCCTCAGAAACCAACCAGTCAGCCCGCCCACGTGTCCAAGGCTCAGGTCGGACCACTGCTCAAGGGGACCTGGCATGCGTGCATTCCTTCACTCATTCGTGTTACAAATATTTCTCAAGTGCTTCTCTTTACCCAAACACTTGCAAGAGAAATAGTGTCAGCCCTGAAACCACATCTCAAATGACCCACGTGGGATGTTTTCCAGTCACAGACTCCAACACTACGCTACACTCTGCTGTGGGCTCCTCCTGGGGTAAAAGGAGGGCACTGGGCACCTGAAGATGAGGACGACAACCATGGCCATCCTTGAGTGCTCTTGGCCAGTCAAGCAATAAGTATAAATTGAGCTTGCCCATGGGCCTATAGGCAGCAACAGATTTTGGGTTAGGCTTGGTGTGTGAGATTTAACTCTACAAACATGTTTGACAGGGAAGTCCCATCCAGAATACTGATAATCAGAAATCCAAAATCATCCCAAATCTTCCACACAATAGACTTTTCAGAGGAAGTTTATTGGTGAACATTTATTGTTATTGCTCAGTTAAAGCTGAACTTTTTCATTATAACAATAGGGGTCCTTCTGCTTCGAGCTTGGCAATATTCAGCTACTGAGAGGAAAGCATCTCCAGGTAATTTGACAAGTGATTTCTGCATTGGTACCAAAATTACATATAAAACTAAAGTCTAAGACAGCATTGCAACCAGCCAAAATGTCTCAGAAGCGCTTATTCTACTCAGTAGATATATTCACTGAGCACAGTGCCCGATGTGTATGTATTTTTCCCGTCTAAATTATTTCATAAACATCATTTGCATTTTACAGTGTAATTAATAACAGCGGGTCTCAATGCAATACTTATTCCCACATAAACTTATATGGCTTTTGAGGCACAAGCCATATTTTTTTGGTGTTTGTTAAAAGAATTTTGGATGCTAAAAAGCACAACTCATGGATATGAGCACAGGCACTACAATGCATACAACAAATACCAATTCTCAGTAGAACTCTAAGAGTAGTGGAAGTTCACACCCCTTTCCCTCCGATTAGCCCCCATCCAAATCAGGCCATAAGCCCTGCTTTCTAAACGTTAATGTTAAGATACTAATAGGTATAAGCTATTAATAGGTGTTGAGATATTAGCAGATGTTAAGATTGCAATAGGGTTTGTTTGTTTTTTTGTTTTGTTTTGTTTTGTTTTTTTGACAGGCAGAGTGGACAGTGAGAGAGAGAGAGAGAAAGGTCTTCCTTTGCCGTTGGTTCACCCTCCAATGGCCGCCGCGGATGGCGTGCTGCGGCCGGCGCACCGCGCCTATCCGAAGGCAGGAGCCAGGTGCTTCTCCTGGTCTCCCATGGGGTGCAGGGCCCAAGCACTTGGGCCATCCTCCACTGCACTCCCTGGCCACAGCAGAGAGCTGGCCTGGAAGAGGGGCAACCGGGACAGAATCCGATGCCCCACAATAGGGGTTTTGACATAGTATATTTCACTAGTCAACTAAGTTTAGAAAATGGTATATTAGACCCACCCAAACAAGCTGGGGTTTGTTTTTACTGCTGGTTTTAACATGCCTTGAATCCACTAACACATGATGTGACTCTCAAGATGGAAATGGATTATGCACCATTCTCTGCACCCCTTTTTTACCAGGGGATGCCACTCTTTTGTGGAAAATATTTTTATAGGGGACAGTTTCTTCATCCTTGATAATAAAAATTTTTAAAGATTTATTTAAATATTTGCTTATTTATTTGAAAGAGTGGCAGAGAAAGAAGGGAGAAGAGAAAGTGAGAGAGAGAGAGAGAGACTGTCTTCTATTTCCTGGTTCACTCTCCAAAAGGCTACAACAGCCAGTGTTGGGCCAAGCCAAAGCCAGGAGCCTGGAACTCCATCTGGGGTCTCCCATGAGAATGGTAGGAACCCAAACACTTGGGCCACCTTCCACTGCTTTTCCAGGCACATTATCAGGGAGCTGGAATAGAAGTGGACCAGCAGGGACTCAAACCAGTGCCCATATGGGATGTTGGTATCTTGGGGGAGGTAGCTTAACTTGCTGCACCACAGTGCTGGCCTCAGTCATACATCATCTTGGCCCTGCAAAATTTTCTTTGCCCCACCCACATAAAGATGGTCACTCTAATTTCTATACCACAGTACTCTGAATATAATACACTGAACCCCTACTGTTTTTATATCTTACATACACTTTTATATATCTAGACTTATATATATGGATATGCACATATCTGTCTCCCCTACTAAATGGCCATATCCTTCCAGACAGAAGGCCTTAGGCACCACTTATGTCCTCCCTGCCTGGTACATGGTCACCAGCCATTAATCTCAGTGGAAGCTAATAATGAATGGATGGATGGATGGATAACTGGGTGGATGGGTGGGTAGATGGGTGGGTGGATGCGTGGCTGGATGGGTGGGCGGGTGCCATTATGGAAAACTTCCTCTATTGAGATTTTGGGTATATTAGGCTTTCTATCTGGTGTATGACTAACAGCAACCATTTCATTTTGACACACTGTCATCTATGACTCAATGTCTGCATCAGATTATACCTACACAGGTGCCCTGTGATAATCTTTGTCAGGTTCTGTGCAATCCCTTGGTTGTACTTAAGGCTCTCTGTGGCCTGACAGCAACTGTTCCTGATCTTCTAACTTTCTACTGCTTCCTTTCAGAAACCCACTCTGCAGCCAAACAGCACAGGCCCACCCTCTCCAAACACCATGGACATTCCCCTTGCCCTGAGCATTGCCTGCCCAGTTCCCTCCATTCTCAATCTTATGACAAATTTTCACTAAAAGTCTATCAAGGGCTAAGCATCGCATGGTGTGTGAGAAGAGTAAGGTGTAGCTGCACTCCCAAGGATATAATGCCAGCCACATAAACAGAGAGACACCATACAATGCAGAACCTTCTATGACAGAGCCAAGTAGCGGGCATTATGTGAGCACAGCAACAGTGCTGAGTAAGACTTTCTGGTATACAAGCTATTTAAGCTGGATCATTCCTTGAAATGCATTTTACTGATGGGTGCAATTACCGAGTCTTAAAGGTAAGAATATAGCCTCCATTCTCTCCCTTTGCTTCTCATTTCTATAGAATAAACCTACAAGGCTGAACCATTAGGGTATCAGGCATCCTTGTCCATACATCTAACTGATGAGTTATATCCAAGGCTGTTCTGCAAATAATGGCCATGGGAGGTTAGAGAGTTAGGAAACAGCTTACCAGGTAGCCCAGCGCAGTATTGGTGATGGCACCTTAAATTGCTGTCAAACAAGGTGGAGACCATGACACCACCACTGCCCACACGTGAGCACAAAGCAGAGCTGCTTTAGTGGCAGGGTTAAAATTCTGTCTTTCAACAAACAGTTTAAGAACCGTTTGAGAAAAACTGTGAGTGCTAGGTTCTTACCTTCTGGAAATATCAAAAGAGCACCAGCTCGAAAGCTGGTCAGTGGGTGATGGTCTGGGGAGAAGAAAATTCCCCAGCAAGAGGGTGGCGACGTGGGGAGAAACACTCCTCATCGCTGCTCTTGATGTCACAGAGAGGGACACTGCCCGGGCAACCACAGAGAGCAGCCGCTCTGAGTCGCAGACCAGCTGAAGGCGGTTTAGAAATGTTGCAAAGCCACCTTGTTTCACTTCTATTTTCACACTAATATATGCACGGATGTCTAAATAAGCCTCAAAGAGCTTTTTTCAATAAGTATAAAATGGTGGTGCTAAGTTATAAAGCAGTATGGCCGGTTTAATTGGCAGTACTTTTTTTTCCTCAAAGGTACACAAAATTATGGTGTATCTTAAAATCAATAGCTCCTCAGACACCAAGAAATATGGAGGCTCCTTGTTTATCCAGTTAACCCGCTGAATCCTGACTGTAATTAAGTTTTCCCTGTATCTGTCACTCCAGTGGAGTTGAAAGCTTCTCCAGCCCATTAGCTATCCACCTGAGCTCTGGAAGATGTCAGTGTCCTTTGTGTTCTCTGGAAGGGAACAGTACAATGTGAAGAAAAACCTTTAATTTCTGGTTTCAGGGATTAGATGGGAATGACTTCATTGCTCTGCAGGCAGCAGTATTGATGGACTGGGCTTCACTCTGTGCAACAGATGTTCTCCCGGAGAAGATGTGTTTAATTTAGATTTTTTAAATTCAATTGTGTTCCCATAGAAAAACAGTTTGCTTAAGACATCACACACACACACACACACACACACACACACCTCACTTGAGAATGCTATGAACAAGAATCACACAACTAGTGAGGAGCACAGCCCAGGTCTCCATGCCGTTTTCTGCCCCTCATGCTCACCCCTGCTGTTTTGAAGGGCAATTATCTCTTTAGATTTACAAACCCAGAGAAACTGCGAACGCTTTCCGTGTTACCTCTTGAACATGGAGCAGCACGGTGTTCCTAACAACTATGTAATTCATGTATCTACAAGCCTCCACTCTCTGCTTTTGTGCCAAGAAATGGCAAAGTCAAAGCCAGATGCTCGGCCTCAAGGAGGGATTGCAGTTGATGGGATTTTAAAAAAGAGAAAATGGTCCAAGTTCAACGAAATGGTCTTCAGTCACAGTCTCCTAAGAGTGTTCTCTGGGAGGATTTTTCTCCTCCTGTCACTCTGAAAATCTTAATGGGTTTGAATTGATTCACTGAGCCTTGCCATTGAAAAGGAAAGGAAGTGTCAAGACTCTGGGGTTTCAGTCATGCATTTGGGGCCCAGGCCAAAGTGTACTTCAGAACTTTTAGGTCTGAAAGTGCCTGCACCATAAGAAATAAATCATTTGACAAGTCTTGCCATGCACCTGTAGAGTTTCCTGCCTCGCCTTGGCTCTCCCTATACAGAACGCAGGAGAGGCAGCCACCTTGGAATTCATTTTGAGGGAGCTGACCATGGCCATGAGGAGGTCAGCCGCATTCCTTAGGAAAAGGGGGGTCACTTAGCATCTTTTCTATTCCAAGGGCCTGGACTATCATTGCCGCAGGATCTGTGTGTCTGATGGCATCGTATCACCATCTGCAAACACCTTCACCATGGCAGAGAAATGGTGACTCCCAGCAGTGAGTGTGCATCCAGAGCCCCCTGCAGAGCCAAGCCCATCTCCTCAGAGCCACTGGCAGGGGCCCCTGGCGCTCGCTCGCAAGAACCTCTCTCTCTGGGAGCTCTCTGCTGCCTAGCAGTCACCTCCTCTCATTCCAGAGGCCAGGCCAGATCTTGCTTGAATCAGAGAAGTGGGTAGAGAAGGGCTATTGGATGAGGCCTTGTACTGCTGAGTGTTTACAGCTCTATGGGAATGACGGGCTCTTCTTAAGCAGGCATACACCCAACTGCAAGAGCTTCTCTCCTCTCCTCTCATGCATGCTCTTTGGATCTCACAGCAGGAAGGAAAACATGCCCTGAAGGTCAGGAGCAATGCTAGTGAGTGAGTGAGGCAGGGACCACAAGTGTGGGCCAGGGCCGTGGAAAGCAGTGAGGGCATTCTCCTGAGGATCGGGGACCATGCACTCAGATTCTGTCCAGTTAAAAAAAAAAAAAAAGGACATCACGTCCTCACTTCCCCAAAACAGGAGTTGGTCCCACACGGCTCGGGGCTGCTCCAAGCCTCCCTCCCCACCAGGAGGGGACAGGAACAGACACAGGAAACAGAGCTTTCAAACCAGACCTCCTCCTCCTCCTCCACCTTTCTGCACACAACACTCCGTGGGCCCCTCAAATTCCACAGCCACTTGTCCAAGTGCCTCGTCCAAGCTCAGGCTTCAAAATAGCCCATTGCTGTGAAGACCTCAGCTCTGTCTGGCCTCTCCCTGAGCCAAACATGCCCCATGTCAAGGCTGGCAGCTGAAAAAAAAAGACCTATACCTCACATGTCTGATTTAGAGATTGCCCAGGGAGTGTCCCACAGCTGGAAGGCCAAGTGCCATAATTGGCTGCTTGGTCTGAGGCCAAACTATCAGGCAACAACACTTCCTGCTAACACGTTGGGTGTTTCCAACCTAGAATTACTTATTCATGAAGTTATTTGGACCAAAATGCTATACAAGCTTTTTCATTTCCTTACCTCCCCTGATAATCTATCATTGGAATTATACATTTGATTCCCAATTATAAGCTAAGACTTACCCCCAGAGCCCTAATATTGTCTTAGTAAATGCAGAGTTGAACCCAAAACAAAGCCAATAAAGAAGGCAACTAAAATTCCTTGGCACCACTGTGCAGTTTGAGTCTTATTTAAAACAACTATTCATTTTAATGACTGTTCAAGTTTTATTTTCATAAAAATGTGTTTTACATAAGCCCCAAAGTTTCATATACAATTAATTCCCCTCACAAAGAACTTGTGTTTCAAACTCAGAATGGTCATGCTGGTCTCCATGACCGCGGAGCTTGTTTCTTTCAAGTTGTAGTTGCCTTTTTAACACTGTAATTAAGCTTGGGGGGGAAATCATAATGCAAACCAAATAAATCCTGCCCTTCATACAATTATGTATGGTATGTGGTGAGGAATAAAATGATCTGGGCTTTGTTCATCTTAAAATACACTTGGCAGCCACTTCACTTAATAAGCTCCTTTCTCTTTCTGAGAACAAGAAAGTCATGAAGTCCACACAATAATGGGGGAATGCTGGCAGCTCTGGAGGGAAGTGACAACATCCCGTGGTAGAGACCAGTACAGAGGGGTTCTGAACACCGTCCTGATCTGGCTTCTCCACCATCCTGAGTGTATCTTGTCTTTCAGTTTATTTCTCTAGGTCTTGTTTTCCTCGTTGTCTCCATCGTTGGTAGACCTGAACTTTTAGGAGGTGAAGAAAGCCATGGCTGAGACGGCTTGCAAATCCTCATTCTCCTTTAGGACTTCACTGAGTGCAGCCAGCCTGCTCAGCCCTCTTCCTTGCTAACCCCCACATCACGTGGAACCTGGCATGAAATCCAGTCCTGTTGGAATGCCCCTGCAGTCTCCGAGGGTCGGGGGGTGTCTGCACTCCACACCCCATGAGCTTTCTCTGCATCTGCCTTGACCAGTCCCAATTAGGAGTAAGCTACCCACTCTGCTTCTTCCCCATCCTGAGTTCCCAGGCTCTGGAGCACTGCTGGGAAAGCTGTAGATCAGGGTCAACTCCCAGGCTCCCCTCACCTGATCTACTCTCACTCCCACTGCCAACAATCAGAACTTCTAACCTAGATCATGCCTCAAAGTGCCCAAAATTCCTACCATTTACAGGTTACGCTCCACCCAACCCAAATAACACCACAAATAGAGTGGTTGATCTGCAATGCCCATTTGATCATGTCACACTTCCAGCTTACGGACTCTTGTAATCCCCATTGTTAATCAGTGTTGAGATGAACCACTCCATGGACTTTCAAGCGCCTGGACCCCACCATTTTTCCAAAGTTGATTTTTTTTTCTGCCCTCTTCCTATTTATATAGTATATTAGGCAAATTGGATTACTCACTGATCCTTGCAAATAGCCTTTGAATTCCTGCCTCCAAGCCTTTTTGATGCTGTTCCTTCTATTTAGAAGGCCAAATCAGTATCTATTTGCTTATATCCTGCTTACCATTCAAGACTTGGCTCAAATGCCACTCCCTCCCCTTCCCAAGAAGGCTTTTCTCTCCCATATTAACTCTGCAAAACCATAACACAGCTCACTTAGAGCTCTTTGCCTGTGTCAACAACCAGTAAGAGGCTCCCCAATCCCTACCTGGCATTCCTGCTGTTGATGAGTGTGCCTCACCTGGCATGCTGATCTGAACACTCCTGGAGGGCAGAAGCCACATCCTATTAATCTTTCTACTTCTCCTGTCTGGTGAAGGAACTTGCATTTAATAGGCATTAAATATATATTTGTTGACAAAATAACTGAACGAAAGACTTCCCTGGAGTTTATTCTGCATGGAGGAAGGGTAGAGAAGTGAGGTGGCTTATTGTTGTAGATGATGCTTAGCACTTTATCCACAGTGGAGGAGGAAGCAATCCTTGAAGTCTCAAATTAAATGCCACTTCTGCCATGTGAGACAAGGCCTTCTGTTCTATACACTGGGTTCCCTACACTGTGCACTCTAATACACACTACACACACACAAACAAACACACCTGCCGTGAGTGGTGATGCACAGTGGGAGGCTGGGCTGGAGGAGACACTTCATCCCCATTCCTGGTGTTTTCCTCCATAGAACACCTGTCTCCTCCAGCATCACATCCTGGCTTATCTCATTTATACTGCATTTATTCTGATTAGTGACCTTGGAAGGGCAACATGGGTCTGGAAAGCCCTGGCCCTCCTCCTCCTGCTTCTTCATCATGTAAGCCAGCTCTCCACAGAAAGCCATCCTGTGTGTGGCTACTGATCCATGTTTTATCCAGAAGCAGGCTCTTCTTTGGCAAGTAGGAGACCTGCCCCAGTCTAGGCTGCCTGGGTCTGGTAGATGAGCTGTTTAGACCCTGAGATTCAGTACTAAGAAGCCCACTACATTCCTCCAATTGCAGCTTCCTCATTAATTTGAGTGATAGTTTGATTTCCCATTTGCCTTATATTTTATTTAATTGTTCAGTTGTTTCAGATGATCTTGTAAGAGAAAGACTTATTCATTAGACCTTCTAAAGACTCCAATTCCATCCTCTCCTAACTACTCATTTAATCATCACTCTTCCAC